TCGGCATTCACGCTCACATACTCACCCACACAAACACATAGATACATACATACATACATGTACACACAATAGTAATAGTTAATGCTTAATTTATTAAGCACGCATGTGTGTGCTCACACACACACAAATACTATTTTTTCATATTTCAAGATAATATAAGCTAGTTAATATGTAGAAAGTAATGTAATATGCATGTGTATATGTATTTATTACATAATTACATACATACATACATACTGTATCATGAAAAATAAATTATTATTATTACCTATACTATTTTTTCAATATTTTAAAATAATATAAGTTCATTAATATGTATAAAGTTATGTAATTTGCTTGTATATATGTATTTATTACAGAATATTTTTTTCATATTTTTAAATAATATAAGCAACTTTACATGTTTAAATTTATGTAATATGCTTGTATATATGTATTTATTCATTTATTTTATAATTTTATTAGATTTACTAGACATCTTTTTTAGTTGCACAACCAAACCAACTGTTTAAAATTGACCCTCCCAACTCCAACCACCGGAAGATAGTAGTTTGTATTTTTCTCACATGTATATGAACAATCAAATGGGTCCTCTTAAGGAATTGATGTCAATTTTAGTAAACTAATACATTGCCAATAATCCTTCACCAATCACACAGTGTTTTAGAGGCTACTTAAATGAGTTTAAAGAGTAGTCCAACTAAGTTCAAGTGGTTTTACATGACATATTAATTCTTCCCAAATCACACTTCTTCCACTGTACTTGTGATCCTTCTTTTGTAAGCTATTCTTCCTGAGAGGAAGCCAAACACCTCCCTTGTGCGATCTCTCTTCCTGTGCGATGCATGCCCTAGCTCCACTGAACACCTCTCAAGCCCCAAGAATCCTCTTCTGCCTATTAAATTGAACCCAAACCATTTGTTATATCTATTCAAACCCAAGCACAAACCAGGGTCAAGCCAAATTTATCCTACCTGTTTTTACTGTTCATTTTATTTTTAATATTGTTGTCCATTGTATAATACATACATACATATAGATACATATATATATATACATATATATATACATACAGTATTTATTTATTCTACTATCTTCGTCGCCGATCTTCAGTGTCAACACCGTTGGAGCGAAAAGGTGTAAATGCAAGGAAATCGGGCTTATATAATTTTATGTAGGAAAAATAAAGACCCACGTGTCTTATATGCCCGTGGATTAGAAGATTTTTGTCGACTGAAAATGCAGGAAAAGTGAAGACCCACACTCGCCTTATAGACCTGTGGATTAGATAATCTCTCCCGGACACAATGTCTCACGACACTGACGAGCACTTCTTATAGACAACTGGGCAGATATACACCCTGATGCAGCTCCCTAATCGGGGATGACGCCGGGAGGTTGTCGAAATTTCAACTGAACTTGAGCTTGTAAAATAATTTAAGATTTGGACTTTGTAAATTTCTTAAATGACAAAAAAAAAAATTGAATTTTTAAACAATATTAATAATGCTAATATTTGAAATTGGATTTTCAAGACTCGCAAATGAATTTGAAAGTTTGATTTTCTTTAAATTTTTAAATGACTTAAATATCATTTGGGCACTTAAATTGAATGTTAAATTCTACAAATTTGGGCTTAAATTAAATATTAAATAAAATTGAGGCTACGTAAGACATGTTCGCTACAGAATTTGCAAAACCCCTACTAGCAAAAATAAAGTTTTGCATTTAAAGTCTAAAATCATATTATTTTTGTAAATATTTTAAGTTCAAAATAACTTAAAAATTCATAAACTTTCCGGGTTATCTGATAAGATAAATGCAATATCTTGAAATATGACCCCAAACTTTTAAAACTTAGAAGGGTTTCACTTAGAGATATTTTGTAAAATCCATATTAAGTTAATGATTTAAAACTCATGCAAGTCCTTAATGCTCTTATAAATTTATTCAAGATAATCAAATATGAGAAATAATAAATGTCCGCATGTGCTCCAACCAAAATATCAATGTTTAAATGCGAGGTTTGATAATGTTGCACGGGCTATCAGGCCGCATTGTCTATAGGAGGCATAGTTGTAAGTCCCACTCCCCGCAAGGACTGGAGTGGACGAGTCTAGTAAGCCCCAATAAATGTTAAAATCTTGAAATAAGAGTTTACAAGTCCAAATTACCAAACTAGTACGATCATCCTCCTCATAAGGACAAGAGTCAATTGACTTATATTTTGAAAAACTTAAATTGAAAAAATTAATTACCCCCCTTCATATATAAAAAAGTAAAATATTTAATTTTCCGATAATGATCGAGTTGATAGAAGATTTTAACTGAATGAGTCAATCTTTTAAATAAAAACTTTCAAAATAATCAATTAAATTATCCAAGTTAAGAATCAAACACTAAATACTTAAAGCAAATCTAATCCACTCTTCTTATAAAGTAAATACTTAAATACTAGGTTCAAGAATGTTGTGCGGGCTAATCATACCGTTTTGTCTATATTGCAGGGTTGTAAGTCCCATCTCATTAGTCCGATCCTCCTCTCAAGGACAGAAGTTGACGAGTCTAGTAAGCCCCAATAAATGTCCAAATCCTGAAATAAGAATTTACAAGTCCAAATCACTTGACTAGTCTAATCCTCCTTAGAATGATAAAAGTCGACATGACTTATATTTTGAAAAGCTTTAACTGACAAAATTAATTGCCTCTTCATATATAAAAAGGTTTAAAATATTTAATTCGCCGATGGCGACCGAGTTGATGGAAGATTTCAACCGGAGGGGTCAATCTTTTAAATCTATATTTTTAAAATAATCAATTAAAATATCTAAGCAAAAAATCAATCACTAAAGACTTAAAACAAATCTCATCCACACTCCGCAACAGTTTGTTGAGATTGACAGATTTCTAACCGACTTCAGATTACTAAAAACTAATATTTTATTAAATGCATCAATATATTAACAAACAAAACAATCATATTCCAGTAAGGATGTGACTCGAGTCTCCTGCCTTCGTGGTTTCACCGCTAAATGACACCATAAAATAGAGAATACTATTAGAGTCCTCTGTCTGGGTAGCTGCCGCGAAATGACATCATTATATTACGGTTACGACCACAACATGTATTTTTCCAACAATTTTCTATCATTTGAGTTGTGAATTATAATAGTACAGTTGATTGATAGAAAACCTTTTGTTAGCTAAGGTCGACTTAAATTTATCCTCTTAGACAATGATTCACCTCAAATCTACAAGGATCTCTTGGACGACGCCACCCATGACTGCTAACAAGAATTCTTTTGTCATGTTGGGTTGACTACCCAAGATGACGAAACCATGGGATCTTGATCGTGCTTCGTCTTCAATCCCCCACAATCCGCTTTAAGCTTCAAGTGATGATTTTATAACTTAAATCTTGTGTTTGTTGCTATTATATGTTCAATTTTTAATTCTTAATGACCAATTTTAATCTAAAGTTCTTTCCTGTTATCAAACCATAGGCGTTCGCGCCTATGGGAAATCTCGAATCCCAGATCAAAAAGTCCTCGCAAAATAAGGACGAAATCTCTGGGTAGTGTCTTATTTACTATCCAATCTGTCTTCAGAAAATTTGACCCTTCAAAGCTCTCTCAACAACTAAAAAGATTAAATGCAGAAAGTTTTCTTGGAGAGTAGTCTTGAATTTTTGGTGCCCTCAGATTTCTGGCAATTCCGTTGAGGATCTTAGGCAACAAAAGCCTAAAGAAGGTTGAAAAGATTGATTAGAATAAAATTGTGGATAAGAAGAAACATCTTAAATCCACAAAAGGAGAAAAGAAGCAGCTTAAGGTGGAAAATTCAAGGGAAGGCTACACGAAGGGGATATTATGCCTAACCTCAGGAAGATATATCTTCCACATTGGGCAAGAAAGTTTAGAGACTCACATCTAACCCAAGAGGTAAATAGAGGAATCAGATCGAGAAGGAATGTCAGGGGATTCACATCCAACTCAAGAGCTGATCGATGAAAAATCTGTCACATTGGGAAAGAATACTAGGGGACTCGTATCTAAGTCAAGAGGTGAACGAAGGAATTAGATTGAGAAGGAATATCAGGAGACTCGCATTCAACTCAAGAGCTGATCGAAGAAATGTCACATTGAGAAAGAATGTCAGGGGAGTCACATTGATGGAAAACAATTCTATCATTGATAACTTGAACATTTTCTCAAGGATCTTGATATAGAATACGATGTCACCCGAGTTATTTGGAGATCTCGACCATGGGCATAATTTCAACCCAAATTGAGGGAGATATCGGTGTTAGGCATGATGTCAACTCTCCTGGCTAGATTATCTCATCCTTGAATTTGATATTTACCCAAAAGGAT